TGCAGCTTCAACCTTCCAGCCTCAAGCAGTACCCCTGTCTCAGCCTCCTCAGTAGCAGGGACTACAGGCATGCATTGCCACATGCAGGTAATTTTTTATTTTTTGTAGAAATGGAGTCTTCCTATGTCACCTAGGCTAGTCTCAAACTGCTGAATGCAAGCGATCCTCCTGCCTTGGCCTCTCAAAGTGATGGGATTGTAGGCGTGAGCCACTGTGCCTGGCCTGAGTTAATTTTTATATAGCATATGAATAGGGGTTCACCTTCATTCTTTTGTATGTGGATATACAGTTGTCCCAGCACCATTTATTGAATTCTTTTCCCGTTGAATAGACTTGGCACCCTACTAGAAAATCAACTGAGCATGGATGTATAGGTTTACTTCTAGACTGTCTGTTCTATTCCATTATCTATGTGTTTATCATTGTGCTACTACCATACCATTTTGATTACTGTAGCTTTTTAGTTAAGTCCCAAAATTGGGCAGTGTGTGTCTTACTTGGTCCTATTTTTTTCCCAAGATTGTTTTGGCCATTCAGGGTCCCTGGCAATTTTGTGTGAATTTGAGGCTTCCATAAAAATCCTAGGTAATTTTTTCCATTTCTGCAAAACAAAACAAAAAAAAAGGAGCAAACAACAAAAACAGTGTTAGAATTTTGATAGAGATAACATTGAGCCTGTAGATCACTTTGGGAATTATTGCTGTCTTATAACAATATTAAGTGTTCCTTTTTTTTTTTTTTTTTAAAGACAGAGTCTCACTCTGCCCCCCAGGCTGGAGTGCAGTGGAGTGATTTCAGCTCCCTGCAACTTCTACCTCCTGGGTTTAAGTGATTCTCCTACCTCAGCTTCCCAAGTAGCTGGGATTATAGGCATGCGCCACCACACCTGGGTAATTTTTGTTTTTAGTAGAAACAGGGTTTTACCATGTTGGCCAGGCTGGTCTCAAACTTTTGACCTCAAGTGATTTGTCCACCTTGGACTCTCAAAATGTTGGGATTATGGGCATGAGCCACTGTACCTGGCCAGTTTTAAGTCTTCCAATTTATGAACATGGGATACTTTTCCATTTGATTAGGTCTTTTAAAAATTTTTATTTTATTTTTTTAAGATGAAGTCTCACTCTTGTCACCTAGGCTGGAGTGTAGTAGTATAATCTTGGCTCAATGCTACCTCCGCCTCCTGGGTTCAAGTGATTCTCCTGCCTCAGCCTCCCAACTGGTTGACATTACAGGCACACGCCACCATGCCCAGCTAATTTTTGTATTTTTTGTAGAGACCAGGTTTCACCAGGTTGCCCAGACTGGTCTCAAACTCCTGGGCTCAAGCAATCAACCCTCTTCAGCCTCCCAAAGTGCTGGAATTATAAGCATGAGTCACCATGCCTGGTGCTTAGGGATTCTTTAAATGCTAGCACATGGAATTGTTTCTTAATTTCCTTTTCATATTACTTATTGCTGCCAGTTTATTTAAAAAATATCTAGTCCTGCTAAAAACAAAGACAAGTCATCCTCTGTTCCCACAGTAACTCTTTTAGAGTGTTTTCCTTATTTTCCTTCTTCACCCCCAAGTTTTAAGAAGTAAAATATATGTATAATGGAAAATTTGGGAACATGTTAACATAAAAGACATTTCTAATCTGTTTAGTGACAACTTCTGTTAGTGTGTCAGTATATTTCTTTCTATATTTTTTGAATAAATATACTTTTACAGTAAATAAATGTAGTAAGGCTGAATAATGGTTTCTAAAGTTCTCATGGTTTTTAAACCCTGGAACCTGAAATGTTACTGATATGGGAACACACTCTTTGCATATTTGCAAGTTAAAGATCTTAAGATGAAGAAATTATCCTGGATTTCTGGTGGGACTGAATGCAGTCACATGTATCCTTTTAAGAGGAAAGCAGAGGGAGATTAGACCACACATCTCAGAGATTAGAATGATATAGCCGCAAGCCAAGGAATGCTGGTGGCCACCAGAAGCTGAAAATCACAAGGAATGGTTTCTTTTCTAGTATCTCAAGAGGTAGTGTGGCCCTAGTGACACTCTGATTTTGACTGAATGAGACTGATTTTAAATTTCTCTGTTTTAAGCCACTGAATTTGTTGTAATTTATTACAGTAGTCACAAGAAAGTAACACAGATTTTGGTACCAGGATGTAGTGTGCTGCTGTAACAGATACCTGGGATTAGACAATTGGTGGAGGCTAGAGGAATTTTGAAGCGCATGGTAGAATTATGGATGTTAAAGGCACTTCTGATGAGGGGTCCGAAGGAAGTGAGGAGCACATTAGAGAGAGCCTATAAATATATAGTCTTAGAGAATACATATATTGTTATAAGCAAAATATTGGTAGGAATATTGTTACAGATGCTGGTGAAGACTTCAGAGGAAATGAGGAACATGATTTTGAGAACTGCAGAAAGGTTATCCTTGTTATGCAGTGGTGGAAACTTAGCCACACAATTGTTTGCCACAGTTGTATGGAAAGCATAACTTGTAATCAGTGAATATGGATGTTTTTGCTGAGGAAATTTCCAAGCAAAGTTTTTTAGTTATAGCATGGTTTCTTTTTGATGCTTATAGTAAAGTGCAAGAGGAAAAGGGTTAAATTGAGGGAATGAATGTTACTAACCAAATAAAACCCCTTAAAGCCAGGACTTGAACATTTGGGAAATTCTCAGCGTACTGGGACTGCAAAGTTCATAAGGCTGGGATATTCACTCTGGATAGAAGACCAAGGATGTGGCTGGATCACTTTTCCTAGTGTTGAAGGGATTGGATGTTTGATTCATGGATCCATTCAGTCATTATAGCAGAAGCCAGGAATAGAGAGGAGGTTATCCAAGAAAGATCTGTGGAAGACTCTCTTTGTCTAGTGACATGGATTGTTGTGCATACACAAGAGACCCACTGGGGATTTGGAAATATTAAATCAGAACAAACACTGCCAGCTTGGACTGAAAGGAGAAAGATGGGATTAAATGAAAGAAGGCTGTCAGACTTTTAAAATTCTGCAAGCCGGAATCATAAAACTGCTCAACTACAAACATATGCTTGGAAAAGGAAGAATGACTTCATGGTAGGAGCTACTGACCCTGAGGCCTGAGGCCGGGCCCATAGGTTGGATTTGGGTGCAGAGACCAGAACCATCAATGTGAAGATGTGGATTCACCTCAAGCTGAAGAAGATTATTCTCACGCCTTGAATCCTAATGGAATTTGCCCTTTTCAATATTGAAATGGCCTGGGACTACTGACCCTTTTTCTTTCTCTTTTCTCTCTTTTGGAATGGCAATATCTATAACTGTTATCCAATGCTTATTTCAACATTGCATTTTGGAAGCAGATAACTTGTTTGCTAGTTTTAGAGGAAACTAATATAGGAAGTATAAGAATTTTCTAAATACATCCTAATCTTTTTAACAAATCTCATACTCCAGTTTTAAGTGGACTTTTTTCCTAAATTTCAACCACTTCTCTAATGCCTTGCTCCAATGCATTATGAAATCCTTGTTCCTTAGATTCAACCCTTAAGAGGATACAACCCAAAATGGTAGATGTGCATGCCAAGGTGATGTACACATTGAGCCACTGTGGTACAGAAAACAAACTGTGAGAAAGAGTAGCAAAATAATCTTCCATGTTTTTATCTTATTTTTTTTTAAGTTTTAATTCTGTGTACATTTTATAATACAGTTTTACATATATATAATTTCTAAATCGGTAATCATAATTTGGGAATATTATAAAACTTTTTTTTTTTAACCAATAGAGACGGACAATCAAAAAAAAGGTTTAGAGACCGTTGTTCTAAAACATGCATTCGGTGGTCCTGCAGATCTGTTTCTTGCTTCAGCAATGTTTGGATGGAACAGATCTGGGGACTTCAAAAAAAAAAAAAAAAGAAGAAAACAATAAAATAAAATAAAATGTGACTGTTACCCAGTCATATTGTTAAGCAAGATCCAGAACCTGAAAAAGACAAGGAATAGTTTCTTTCTTAGAGTCTCTTGAGGTAGTGTGGCCCTACTGACACTTAATTTTAACTGAGTGATACTGATTTTAATTTTTTCTGTTTTAAGCCACTGAATTTGTTGTAATTTATTACCATAGCCACAGGAAAGTAATACAGCTTTGTTGTATTGTCAAAACCTAACCCTGTTTGGAACTTAGTCCTCAGCTTGTAATAATTAAATAAAATTTAAATAAAATGGCTTATAGGAACCTTTAGATTTGTCATATTTTGCAGTGTGTCATTCCTAGAGTTTATCGTTTATCTTTTTTACTTGTAAGATAGAGAGCTAGACAGTGATTTCTTACTGAGATATACTTTAAATATGTGGCAAATATATAACATAAAGTAATACTTGTTATTTGGTAGATTAGCATCTCCTTTTAGGCTTTACAATTTAAGCATTAATATATTAGCTAAAACTAATATGCTCTGCTGGAGTTAGCTAAATGATGTGCTGAAGATGGCTTTTACTATTTTGTGATAACGTGTTGTGTGCATCTCTCCTCTTCGACCTAGTAACCTGACATTGGCCATGATGGGAGTATTTACATCATGGAAATGGGCAAATGCTAAAAATTTGGGCTTTCTTTTCCTCCAGTCTACCCTGTGAGCTTTTTAGCATTGTAAGGTTTTAAATCATTAATTCCAGATCATGCTGTAGAACGTGGAACTTTGAAATCCTTTATGAAAAAACTATTATATGGCCAAAACTATTTCAGAAATACTGGATATAGAAATGTACTCTTTTCGTTGGAGAGTCAGAATATGTATGGTTATTCTAAAATCTATAGTTTATGCTGTGAAGAAAAGTATTTAACTTTGTATGAGTCAGTATTTTCAACACTGTTTAAAGTGTATTAACAAAATTCATCTTTGCATTCCACCTATTAATGGCCTATTACTGTTTTGCAGAGCACTCTTTGAGAAAGATAGAGATCGATCATATTTATTCCTTGCTGATTTAAAATGTGTTTTATTTTCAGCCCTTCCAAGGTCACCCTGCTGGGGTCGATTATCTTTACATTCCAGCACACCCAACATCTGGCAATATCAAAGCATAATCTTATGTTCCTGTATACCATCTTTATTGTGGCTACAAAGGTAAGAATTCAAAGTACCTATAATTATTACAAATCCTGTATGACATTCCCTTTCGATACAATTCTGCATACTGGGCAAATAAGAGGCACATTTATTTATTGTTATTAGCTAGGAAGAAGAATTTGAGGAGGTTTATTCAGCACATCCATGACTTCCTGAAATTTAGCTTTTCTTTGATTTCTCATTTGCTTTATGCCAGGACTATAGGAAACACTTGCAGATAGCCTAGTAGTATATTGGAGAACAGAGGGTAGTGGAAATAGCCAAGGTTGATCAGAGACTGCAAAGATGATACTGTCTCATTTGTGAAAAGAGGTACTTGAGATAGATACTCTCTAAGTTTCCTTAAAGCTCTAAAATTTCAAATATTTTATATTAGGACATATTTGTGGTTATTCTTTTTTATTAATATTGCCTGGGTGGAAGCTTTATTCCTTCTTGAAGATAGGTTAGAGACAAATAGTCTTGGGTTCAAATCCCAGTTCTGCTACCTAATCCCTGAATAGGCAAGCCATTTAATGTCTTTGAATCCTAATTTTTTCATCTTCATTGTACGACTGTTGAGAGGATTGGAGAGGATGCATGTCTTTCTGACACTGTATCTGATATGTCTTATGAATTTTATATCATGAGGCTAATTCTGATTATTCTTACCATGATTAAGTATTGTTCCCTATTCACAGGTAGACAATTGATTTTATAATAAGATTATTTAAGCCTATGGTCACCTCTATTTTAGAGTAGATATTTTTGGCTAAAACTTATCTACAGGATTTTTAAAAGGAAAACAGGATAGATTATATAAGTATGTGTCTTAGAAAGAATGAAATCATTGTATGAATCATTTATTTTTGTTTCGGTAGTCTCTGAAATGGAGATGGTCTGTGGCTATAATTCAAGTAACAAATACTGGAGGCAAAATATCTTCACATGTCGTCTCTTGTAGTCCTCAAGGTTTGAGCTGTATATATTTTTTCTAACAGCTTCATTGTGATATATTTTTCATACTGTGTTAGTCTGTTCTCATGCTGCTAATGAAGACATACCTGAGACTGGGTAATTTTTAAAGAAAAAGAGTGTAATGGACTCACATTTCCCCATGGCTGGGGAGGCCTCACAGTCATGGCAGAGGCAGAGGAGGAGCAAAGTTACATCTTACATGGTGGCAGGCAAGAGAACTTGCACAGGGGAACTCCCATTTATAAAACCATCAGATTTTGTGAGACTTATTCACTATCACAAGAATAGCATGGGAAAGACCCTCATGATTCTGTTCCCTTCATCTGGCCTTGCCCTTGACACATGGGGATTATTACAATTCAAGGTGAGATTTGAGTGTGGAGAGAGGAGTGATATATGGTTTGAGCCAAACCATATTGTGTATCATATAATTTACTTTAAGTGTATAATTGAATAGTTTTTTAGTATATTCATGGAATTGTGCAATTATCACTACAAATCAGTATTAGAACATTTTTATCACTCCAAAAAGAAACATCGTATTCTTTAGAAATCATTTCATATTTTCCTCAGTACTTCCAGCTGTAGCCCATTTTATTTATCCATTCATCAATTGATAGACATTTTGATTGTCTCACTTTTTGTCTAGTATGAATATTGAGCTTTGAACATTCATGTAAAAATTTTTGTGTGGACATGTGATTCATTTCTCGAGTGTATCGTCTATGAATGAAATTTTTAGGCCATATGTTAATTCTGTGTTTATCTCTTTGAGGAACTGACAGATTGTTTTCCAAAGTGGCTTTATCTTTTTATATTCCCACAGCAATATATGAGATTTCCAATTTCACCACACCATTACTCGCTCATATTATTGTCTGTCTTTTTTATCGTAGCCACCCTAGTGGGTGTGAAGTGGCATCTCATTGTGGTTTTGATGTACATTTCCCAGATGACTGATAATGCTGAGTATCTTTTTTGTGCTTGTTAGCAATTTGTGTTCTTCTTTGGAAAAACAGCTAGTCAGATCATTTGCCCATTTTAAATTTATGTTGAGTTTTCCTGTTGACTTGTAAAATTATTTTCATATTTTGGATACTAGAACCTTATCAGACTTAATGATTTGCAGATATTTTCTTCCATTTTGTAAGTTTTTTTTCACTGATAGTTTCCTTAGAAGCACAAATTGGTAAAATTTTGATGTAGGCTGGGCGCCATGGCTCATATCTGTAATCTCAGCACTTTGGGAGGCCGAGGTGAGCAGATCACCTGAGGTCAGGAGTTTGAGACCAGACTAGCCAACATAGTGAAACCCCATCTCTACTATAAATATAAAAATTAGCCAGGCATGCTGGTGGGTGTCTGTAAACTGAGCTACTCATGAGGCTGAGGCAGGAGAAACGCTTGAACCAGGAAGGCAGAGGTTCATTGAGTTGAGTTTGCACCACTGCACTTGAGCCTGGGCTATAGAGAAAGACTCTGTTACAAAATAAAAAAAAAAAATTTTTTTAAATGAAGTTCAGTTTACTCTTTTGTTGTGTATTCTTTGTGTGTCATAGCTAAGAAACCGTTGCCAAATCTAAGGTCATGAAGATTTACCTCTGTATTTTCCTCAAGAGTTTTATAGTTTTAGTTCTTGTATTTAGGTTTATGATCTGCTTTGGGTTAAGTTTTGTGTATCGTATGATGAACAGTCCAAGTTTTTTCACGTGGGTATCTAGTTGTCCCAGCACTATTTATTATAAAAACAATTCTTTACCTTTGTGAATTGCCGTTAGAATCTTGTCAAAAATTGGTTGACTGTAAATTTGAGGGTTTATTTCTGAATTTCAATTTTATTCCATTCACATGTGTGCCTGCCCTTATGCCATTACCACTATGTCTTAATTGTTGTAGCTTTATAGTTAGTTTTGAAATCAAGAAATGTGACTCTGTTAGGATCCAAGATGGCTGATTAGAAGCAGCTGTGACAGCACTCACAGAGAGGAGTGAAAAGGGGAGAGTGAATTCAGCACCTTCAACTGAAATATCGAGGTTCTTGTATTGAGACTGTCTAGGCAGACAGCTCAACCTGTGGAGAAGGAAAATGAGCAGTGGGGTCGGGGATGATGGCTCACCCAGGAGCAGCATGGAGCTAAAGGAACTTCCATAGCCAGCCAAGGGAAGCGGTGAGTGATTATGCAACCTTGTCCAGGAAGCCATGCTTCTCTCATAGACCTTTGCAACCTGTGGATCAGGAATCAGGAGATCACCTTGTGAGCCCATGCCACCAGTGTCTTGGGTTCGATACACAGAGCTGTGTGGAGTTTTGGCAGAGCAGCCACTCAGGCACACACAGAGACCCAGGAGTTTTATATACTCTGGCCCTGGGGTCCCCAGCAAACGAGGAAATTCATCTATACATATCCCTAGGGGAGGGGGTTGAATCCAGACAACCAAGCAGCATCATTCTGCAGGCCCCACTTCCATGGCACCTCACAATTTAAGCCCATGGGCTTGGGTTCCAGCTGGGTTCCAGCCTGCCAGCAGCAGCAGGCTGGAATGTGCCTGAGACAGGTCTGAGTTCCTGAGGGGAGGAGTGGCTGGCATCTGTATGGTTTGGTTGACTCAGCCGTTACAGCCTGCTGGCTTTGGAGAATGCAAACAGTCCGGATGCATAACGTAGCACAGCTGCCTTGGCAGATCATGGCCAGATTGCTTCTTTTATTTATTTATTTATTTATTTATTTATTTATTTATTTATTTATTTTTGAGACAGGGTTTCACTCTTGTTACCCAGGCTGGAGTGCAATGGCGCGATCTTGGCTCACTGCAACATCTGCCTCCTGGGCTCAGGCAATTCTCCTGCCCCAACCTCCTGAGTAGCTGGAATTACAGGCATGCCCCACCATGCCCAGCTAATGTTTTGTATTTTTAGTAGAGACGGGGTTTCACCATGTTGACTAGGATGGTCTTGATCTCTTGACCTCGTGATCCACCCGCCTCAGCCTCCCAAAGTGCTGGAATTACAGGCTTGAGCCACCACGGCCGGCCCAGATTGCTTCTTTTAGCAGGACTCCAATCCATTTATCCTCACTGGGTGGGACCTTCCTGTGGGGGCTTCAGCCACTTCAGCAGGGGTTCTGTTGGGACGTAGCTATCACGGGGAGGAGTGGCCACCATCTGTGTTGGTCAGTAGACTCAGCCGCTCTAGCCTGCTGGCTTTGGAGAATACAAATGTTACAGATAAGAAAGGGTTTCCCTGTAGTGCAGCACAGCTGCTTTGCTAGATCGTAACCAGACTGTTTCTTTAAGCAGGACCCTGATCCATTCCTCTTCACTAGACAGGACCTCCCTGCAGGGACTTTATCCATTCCAGCCAGGGTTCTCCGTCTCTCCCTGGGATGGACCTCCTGGAGGAAGGGGCATCTGCCATCTCTGTGGTTTGGTTGACTCATCCATTCTAGGCTTCCGGCTTTGGAACGCCCCAATGATTTGGACAAGGAAGCGCCCCCCACCCAGTGCAGTATACCTCTTCTACCAAAAAGCAGCCAGACTATTTCTTTAAGCAGGTCCCTGATTCTGTTCCTTCTGACTGGGTGAGACCTCCCAACAGGGGTCTCCAACCACCTCCTACAGGTGTATTCAGTCCAGCAGCAGGTCAGTAATCCCCAGGGATGGAGCTTCCAGAGGAAGGAGCTGGCTGCCATCTTTGCTATTTCATAGCCTTCACTGATGATACCTCCATGTTTGGGAAAAACCAAGGCAACTAGGGTCTGGAGTGGACCCCCAGCAAACCACAGCAGCCCTACAGTAGACTGGCCTGACTGTTAAACAGAAAACAACGATGTCAACAAAAAAGACCCCACAAAAACTCCATTCAAAGGTCAGCAGCCTCAAAGATTGAAGGTAGATAAGCCCACAAAGATGGGAAAGAATCAACACAAAAACAGTGAAAACTCAAAAAGCCAGAGTGCCTCTTCTGCCCCAAATGACTGCAGCATTTCTGCAGCAAGGGCACAGAACTAGGCTGTGGCTGAGATGGCTGACTTGACAAAGTA